AGATGACAGGACCTTTTTGGATGACATCAAGATCCATGAAAAGGTGGGTCCTATGGTCTTTGACTCTGCATGAGATCTGCACCCCCAATTTTAAGGGCCAGTGTCCTTATGAGATCAACCATGATTGAGTCCCCTAGACCCATTCCATTCATTTGGATCTCAGATCAATAAGTATGGGTGGAACAGTGGCCTATAACTGACCCAAGTTGTCAATCCTAAAAGAATTAGTTGCAGAACAGCTAAAGTTGGGTCACAGAGAACCATCCACAAGTAAACACCATACTCCTCTATCTGTTATCCCCAAGAGATCATGACACTACTGCCTCCTAGATCTTCATGTAGTTAAGGTAATATGGAAAAAATGGGGTCTATACAGCCAGGCCTCCCCCACCCTAGTGATATTCCTCCATCTTACTATATTTTATTTTTTTGAGACAGAGTTTCTCTGTGTAGTTTTGGTGCTTGTCCTGGATCTTGCTCTGTAGATCAGGCTGGCCTCAAACTCACAGAGATCCACCTGGCTCTTCCTCCTGAGTGCTGGGATTAAAGGTGTGTGCCACCACCACCCCAGCTATATTTAGTTTTAGATATTAAGGATTGCTTTTTTTTTTCAAATTCCCCTGGCATCACAAGACCAAGATCATTTTGCCCTTACTGTGTGGGAACCTAATATACATAAACCAGCTAAGAGATATCAATGGACTGTTTTGCTCCAAGGAATGAAGAATAGCCCCACTATTGGCCAGTTATATCTTTCTCAAGCTTTGGTCAATGTCTCCAGGGATGTCCTTTTGGTCCATTATATGGATGGTCTTCTTCTGGGACACCCAGATGCAGCCTACCTGTAAAAGACCTCCAAGGGAGTATAAGGAGATCTCACATAATTACATCAGATGATGGCCCTGTAATCTTAACTCTTGAGATACTGAGGCAGGAAGATCAAAGTTGGAGGCTACCTAGCATGCCCCTGTTTCAAAACAGCAAAGAGAGCAGACAGACAAATATTTCTCTCACAGTCTACTCAGGGAAATGCAAAAGAGAATGTATGAGGTACTGTAATAGTTGTCTTTTGTTCAATTTGATACAAGCTAGTCTTTTGTGAAGCAAGAGTCTCAATTGAGAAAATTCATGCACATGATTAGCCTATAGGCAAGTCTGTTGG